AGTCCATCTGGGCAAACCTGTCCTCCGGATAAAACACTGCCACGACTTGATTCTCACCAAACCTCCTTCCATTCATCCCCGATCTGGCTTTTGATGCACCCTCGGCGTCTTCATATTCCAAGAACACCTGCAAGTACATAAGAACAGTTATCAGCAACTACTGCAAATGGCAAATTTCTAAAAGAAATAGTGACCATTGGCAGGAATTGAATAATAATTGACTTCACACTGACCTTTCCAACCCCAGGTGCTGGTTCACCATCTAGCCTTGGACGTGGAATAATCACATTCGCCAACTTCCCTGTGCATATCAAATGAAAAATTTCTTGAGTTGATAGAAATCCTCAGGGTAAACACTAAAAAATCAAGTGAAATATAGGTAGAAGGTTATAGAATCTTCTGTCTTTGTATGTTAGGCTTGATTCTTTATAGCAGAATGTGGGACTACAAAAGGCTGTAAAAAGAGATATAAAAAAAAAGAAAATAAAGAAAAATCAATAAGAACACAAGCTTAACACGTTTATATTAAATGGTTTAAATATAAGTTACGTTTGGAACAAATTCAAAAAATTTGTGGAATTTATTTGCAAATCCACGCCTAAATTTAGCTAAGGATAACATCAATTCCATTAAAAATATTAAATATTGACCTCATGATATTTCATGTGTACTTAGAACAATGAATTTCAAATTCCATTAACATTGATATAATTTGAAACGTGTTGTTCTGAAAATTCCATATTTAGCTTTAAAGAAAAGTTTGAACATCTTGTAATTGGACTTAATCTGAATTTACAAATGAATTCCACAAATTTCTGAATTTTTTCCAAACACTCTTAACGAGTAAATAAAACACTACTAGAACATAAAACGTTCTTACCAAATTTTCCGCCTTCTTGTCTCATGTCTTCCAATATGTCTTCATATTCTTCATCATCTTTGAGTTCATCTGCACTAACTACCTCAGTCAGGCATACAATTTTGGTGGGCATTCCGCTAGGTTGTAACATAAACCTCTGCAAAAAGAAAGAGACAAGTGAATTGACCAACAAACCATACTCAAATACAGGCTATAATTTAAAAGGCTTGAAAACAAACTGTCAATAAGACTGGAGAAGATGGAATTTCACCTGCAATGCAATCTGCTGCTGTGCATGCAATAGAATATTTTCTTGTTCAGGTTTAGGTTGGCTAGTCCCCTCACTAGCACGCCTGACTGTAAGAGTTTTATCACCCATTTTAATTCCATTCAGCGTAAGACAAGCTGTGTCTGTAACTGAAGGATCCTGATAAACACAGAAGGCATAGCCTTTTGAGTTTCCGGTTTCTCTATCTTTGACAAGATTAAAGCCTCGAAGGGGTCCAAAAGACTCCAACAACTCCCTGATCTGTGCTTCCGTGAAGTAATAGGGAAGCCCACCAACAAAAATGCGGTCTGGACCCTCAAGACCACCCGTGGAACCCGAAGCCAGGCCAACCGCAGCTAAATTGAGATTGGGATTAGGTTGGCTAGGACCAAGAGTTGCGGCAAGGGCTGGATTATAGTCAGTAGGTCTCCTCACCTTCACCGGAACTCCCTGAGAATTAAGTAAATTGAGTTTTTAAGAACAGAAAAAAAAAACGTATTCAGAAAATTCATCACTCATACTCGGAGTATCATATAAACCGATTCATTAGCTTATGAAGAAACAAGCTAATAAAATTACCTCAAATATAATCCCATCTAAAGCCATTGCATTACTGGCCTCCTCAACAGATCTCATCTCCACAAAAGCGAACTTCTTTTCATGGTTTATGTACACATTGACAACAGCATCACCTGGGGATAACAGACAGACAAACAATGATTTACCATTCAAATAAAGAGTAGTTGTATTTGACAATTGAAATCTAAGACAACGCACCTGGCCCGGCAGTATTTCCACCAATAGCAGCCATAACCTGGCTAAAAAAGGTTGCCACCGACTGGATGGGAGAAAAAAGTTCAATGTCAGTACTAAATTCGGGACAATGATATTAGCAACAGAAACATGAAAAGATGTTTTTTGAGAGAACAGAAGAATATAGGAAGAATCGTAAAACCTGCTCATTTGCTGTAGGGGGAAGACCTCCAACATAAACTCGGCGAGCATGCCTGGTTGCCTAAAATTTTTTCAGAACAATAAATCATTAGAAAATAGAAACAAAACATACTTCATTAGATTTCAATTTATGCATAACCCTTCCAACCTGCTGAGTCATGGCCCTGAACTGGCATGACAGGAAGAGCACCCAACTGCTGCATCAGATGAAACAGGTTATGGCAAGGTAAGGCTTGCTCATTAATATATTTTTCCACTGGAAATGAATATATACCTGACCAGTCGCCAAGGAGAACATGTTGGGAAACATTCCAGGAACAGCTGCGTTCGTTTCAGGAATTTGAGCTGAAATCAGAAATCAGATATTTAAGAAAACAGACAAATCAACTCATTCACAAAAGCAGCTAACCAATCGGAAAAGAACACATATCCACCTGATCTCCTAGAGAACTTGTTAATTTAGAATACCCCAAACATCTCACATTATGCTAATAGAAGGAATAAAAGGAATGCATCATATACAAATTGTGGAGGTAATATTTGCGAGACTATCAAATCAGGCA